ATTCAACTGCTTTTTGTTCATCTTTTTCTACTCCTGTTCCATTTTTATAACATAAAGCAAGGTTATACTGAGCACTGGCATGCCCTTGTTCAGCTGCTTTTTGATACAATTCAACCGCTTTTTGTTCATCTTTTTCCACTCCAGTTCCATTTCTGTAACTATTACCAAGATTAAATTGAGCATTGGCATATCCTTGTTCAGCTGCTTTTTGATACCATTCAACTTCTTTTTGTTCATCTTTTTCTACTCCAGTTCCATCAGCATAACATAAAGCAAGATTATACTGAGCATTGGCATATCCTTGTTCAGCTGCTTTTTTGATACAATTCAACTGCTTTTTGTTCATCTTTTTCTACTCCTGTTCCATTCTCATAACATAAAGCAAGGTTATACTGGGCACTGGCATATCCTTGTTCAGTTGCTTTTTGATACAATTCAACTGCTTTTTGTTCATCTTTTTCTATTCCAATTCCATTTTTATAACACACACCAAGATTATATTGAGCACTGGCATCTCCTTGTTCAGCTGCTCTTTGATACCATTCAACTGCTTTTTGTTCATTTTTTTCTACTCCAGTTCCATACTGATAACATACACCAAGATTAGATTGAGCACTGGCATCTCCTTGTTCAGCTGCTCTTTGATACCATTCAACTGCTTTTTGTTCATCTTTTTCTACTCCAGTTCCATACTGATAACACCAACCAAGATTAGATTGAGCACTGGCATATCCTTGTTCAACTGCTTTTTGTTCATCTTTTTCTACTCCAGTTCCATTCTCATAACATAAAGCAAGGTTATACTGAGCACTGGCATGCCCTTGTTCAGCTGCTTTTTGATACTATTCAACTGCTTTTTGTTCATCTTTTTCTACTCCTGTTCCATTTTTATAACATAAAGCAAGGTTATACTGAGCACTGTCATGCCCTTGTTCAGTTGCTTTTTGATACCATTCAACTGCTTTTTGTTCATCTTTTTCCATAGGGATCGAGACATATAATATCATTAATTCCGCAGGCAAGAAAAATGTGCTACATTCGAAGGTATGACAAGCAAAGCGTACAAATTAGGAAGCGTAATGAAATCGAAAAATCAGCAAACGCAGTAATTACATAGGTGTGCGTCAAATGTTAAATGCTTTATATTAAATAATTACTACATCTGTAGTAGAATACATATTACAAGGAATGCATTTGCTACTATCTAGTAGATCTGATACTAATAACAATTTTATATAATTGTTAATAAATAGTTTTATGCAAACATTTCGACAATTATATCTCTTTGTGCTCGGTGAGAAATAGCAATAAAAATTACAGTAGTGTTGCGAAATTCAATTGAATTCAATAGTCCTAATTTTAGAAAATGTATATAAAAAGTGTAGTTTCGCTAGCTAACATCATCCATCTCAGTATCGTCTCACATATCGCTTTAAGTAGTGACGTGCAAACCGCAAATTCTGCTCCTAAGAGGGAATTTGATCTTGTCCATAGAATGCCAAGTTGGCCTCAATACGATTGCTAGTTAATTGTCTACAAACGCGTTTGATATAAACATTTCCTGATTGTGCCTACTGGCTACCGAAATTAATCCTATCGATAGAAGGAGAGGCATTCACTGCAGTTTAATTAGTAGTCGAGAATCCGTGTATACAAGACCGAACGTAAGAATCGTGAGTATATAAACCCCATCAAGGTTACTAACTATAATCAGTAAATTTAGCAGAGTGGAAGCATTGACAGCTTCGTTTGAAGATTTAAATTTCAAGGTAATACCAATCGCTCTCCCGTGGTAAATGAGGAAATGCTTCCAATCGATAATCGAAGCAATATCGTCCTTCTTAACGCGTGAGTTTGAGAAAAAATTCGGTGATTTTGATGAAAGGTGAGCTTGCTGTTTGGCATGCCAGCGGCAGTAATATTTATTCTAATAATGTACAACACATATGTAGTAATGAACGAATAAATTGACTTATTTAACTTGCACTTAAAATCAACAGTCTTTGTTAAGGGCTAAGCACAACGCTAATGTAACTGTTTCTTTATTTCGACTGGTTTCAGTACAGTAAAAATAGCAACTTATATAAAATATCGATGCGGTTTAATCTATTTGTGCCATCAAACAGGAAGATACTCACTCTTTCGACTGCGAATTAACTGTTAGTTGTTGTTCTGCTGTTTACGGAATGTTGGAGTAATATCTAGCCACAATAAGGAGGATGCCGCAGTTTTAAATCATCGAGAAGGAATCCTTGCACAAAACCTACAGTTGGATTACCTTATTTGTGTTCATGCAAAGCTTTATTGTAGTGAACATTAACTATTATAGCGCAAATAGGGAAAAAATATTGACTTGCCGCAATTATTTTGATTCACCCACGGTTGTTCAGAATCCAAGATGCAACATCTGTCTACGCTAATCGTGTATCAATTTTTAGATGGGAGAACATGATTATGGATTAAACATGGTCATCATATGATTCTAAACAGAGCAAATCTTATCACTAGTCTCTATGATAATAAAAATTAATATACGGCACCTATAGTTGAAATGTAATATTTCGAAAAAGTTCTTTAATTCGGACGCGAAGATCAAATGAAATATGAAATAAATGTCTTCACTGTTTTATTATCAAAATCCAATCGTATTATCCATAAATTAGTATTATTCGAACTTCGCTGAAATTCGACAATCGAAAACACTACGACGTTGATGCCTCTCGGAATGCGATTAATGATTTATCAAAACACATTAACACTCGTCAACGTGAATTGTCAACGTCGATTTCTTTTCCTATTATTATGAGGTCATGTTATGTTGATATTACTATTCGTTTCAAAGGAGAACGAGTTGTTCCATCGACGCGGAATGCAAGTCCTAGGGACTCTTATTTCTCGCGGCAATGATAGTAACTTACTCGACTAGTAGGTATGTTTGGCACTTTGACTAGTTTTTATCGTCATCACCAAAATCTACAAGGGATACTTCTGACGACAACATATAAATACCGTTTATTTATCACGTCTCGAAAAGGAGAGTAAATATTCCAGTAAGCTTTTTCCCTGCTGGAGATTTGCTTAAATCAAGAACTGTAAGTATTTTGATGTTCTGAATTATCCCCACTTCTCGCGCAACATCTAGAACCCATTTTATTGTCTACTAATAACCATTATAAACGTATACAGTTAGGTAAACTGGTTTTGATTGCTTACAACAAGGGGAAGCAGATTGAACAGAAATATCAACATCCGTAACTACTTTACTACTTGAGTATAATGGCAGATATAAAATACAAAGTGGAATTTTTAGTTACTATATAGTACAAAATCTGACCTTCTCTAGTTTTCTATCACGCACATCGACTCCCCGCACATACAACACACACACACATACCCACCCCCACCCATACCCACACCCACACCCCCCCCACCCACATATCACAGACAATCCCAAATTATTTTTAACCAGACCCTACAATAGTCAATACGACCAGACATCCGCCGAGAGTCGTTAAAGTTAGTATTGTTCCAATCGTGACACTTCCTCGGCTCGCCGGGAATTCTCCCTTAATCATTATACATTGCGAATGGAAATATCTTGCAACGCCAAAGCATAGAAATACTATGCCGACCACCACAAACGTTATGCCAAGGGGTGTGCCCGTTTTGACAGAACCTGACCGCCCGTCCGAGGAACTCAGGCGAAAAAGTTGGACGATCGCTATTAAAAGGACGAGGATGGATGAGCAGGCGTGTTGATGGAATACTGGGGAAAAAAAGCTATAGAGAGCCGATTTACTTACCAATGCCAATGCTTATGAATGAGAGGGACGTGCGCAACCATGCCAGGAATGTTCTTTCATTAGCTCAAAATCGGAAGTAATAAGATTGCAAATGAGTCTATTGTACGGTTTAATTATTACATCATGTGTCGTCATGCATCGACTCTGATACATAATTCATTCCTTGGAGATAAGGCTCCGTACATACCCAAATGATCTCTCGCAACACTCGCTTTATTCTCCAAGTATAGCGTTGGATCCCAGTCACTAAACTTCAACATTTTGCCTTTTTTCGATCGCAGAGCGTCGTGGTCAACTACAGAAGCGACCGTATCAGCGTCATCAACACGGGTCGGACGTTCCTTATTACTCGGTTTAACATTGGATAGAGCCCGCTTTCGTGATTGGGAAGTAGTAGTAATGGTCGACATTTTCAATGATGTTTGGGTATTGGAAAGGCTGTATTTATACGGACAGTAAAAAATAGTTGATGCACTCAGCCCTGATTTACCCACGCCATGTGTAACGGCATTGTAGTAATAAAAACGATATCCTTCTCAAACTGGGTTTAACCATAATATAATAATAAGCAGGATTCCACAGTTGCATTATATTTTGGCTCTGAAATGTGCGACCTATGTAGATACATTGATAACAGTGGCAAGTAGTTCCAACAAGCATTGGTCTATTCACCGACTCCTGCAGCAACGATTGAGGAGAGAGCTGTTGCTTGCTTTTTTACATGAAAGCGTCTCAAAAGAGCCGGCGGAACTCTTATTAAAGATCCAAACTTTCAAGAAAGTCGATTCTATGCTATAATGGTACAGAGTGTATGATTGTTCAGTTAATGTATTTCAGTACAGCACCAGATCCCGGATCAGATGAAATTATTAAACTGGCGCCATACCCTATTTTGTACTCTTGCAGCAAGATTTCAGGGGCTCAAAACTGCTGAACACAATTGTGACCATCAAATATTAAAACAGTAACTAGCAACAAGTTCGGAATACCTATGAGTATTTCTCATCAGAAAATATGACCGAGTTCCAATTTGTTTCTTGCAGACGCAAACCGATTTTGTTTGTGGCAAGTTAACATAGCAATAGTGCTACGGCAAGATTTAAGGTTTGAAAATTGCTGAGCGCCACAGATTTATTTATCCTTCTGTGACCGTAAAAACAAAAGCAAAACAATTACAGCATTGCAATGAAGAATAAGTACCGATTTTTCACAATCTCCATAATGATTACTGAACGAATCATTTGAAACGCGTTCTTACAAACTGTTTCAAGCTACCGTTCTAATACATCCGTCATTTAAAAAGTTTGCAAACTGCTACTTTTGATCTCGATTATCGCTGGCACTTTGCTTACTGTACAATCTGTAATTAATAATTCAAATGCTTGGTCAAGCGATAAAATCATGAATAATTGAATTAAAATACCAGCCGCTTATTTAATAGATTGGTAATAAAATTCTATAAATAGCGAAAGAGAAAATAAAGAAAGAAAGTGATCAGAAACTCAAAAATTACTAGACAAATCCAAAAATAGTTCACCAGACATTATCGACTTATCTAAAGGCTTCTATTATCTCAATATCCAACTCTCGAGAGCAAGAATCGAAGAAGAAGAATATGTTAAGGATATTACCGATGATACGTTGCTAGATCTTACTAGCGTAACTAAAGCAAAAAGATACTCTCAATGGCTTGGTCCGAATGCTTCCTTTCATTCACGACAATATTGACAGAATACGTATATAAAATCTGATTCACGTTACATAATTACAAGTTGGGGAAAAAATGCACTCGCAATTCTCCCGCTTTGCATGAAACAAAAAGCATGCATCATGCAAAGAACTCCCTTTTTTCTTGTCGCCAATCACACAGTTCCAGTTGAAATATAGTCTTATCTCTGTGTAGTTATCAATTATGACAATCTTTAACTAAATCATATACAACATACAAAC